ATATAATTTTTTTTTGGTTTTTATGACTTACTCATTCTGAGTCACCAAGTTGGACATTTTTATTTTATATTGTTCAATATATAATTTGATTTAGACGACTTTTCTTTGTAAATATATCGGCTTTAAAGACTTATTTGTTTGGAATGCTTTACAATCACCTCATTAAAATATATAGGAAAAAAATCTTGAAAATTGATTTAAAATTACCTTTAAATTATACGAATTTACCATTTCCAAATCATCACTGCTTGTAGAACGAAATGAGATGAATATTCTTAGAAATAGTTATTAGCAGCCACATTTTCTTGCTTATCAAATTTGACAAGATAATGAAAATAGTGTCAACATCTATGCACGGATAAATAAAATTTGAATAACATATTCCAATACACAGTATTATATAATTACCAACCTATTTCCTAATATATATATATATATATCAAATTTGGGAAGATAATGAAAATATTTTTCATGTTTCTCCATACATGAATAATAAGTTAGTCAACAAAAAATTACAAACTTGGTAATAAAATTATAGCGAATATTGCGAAACCACCATGAAGTTTAACATGATATATATATAAAAAAATTATAATTATAAGAAAATCCCAAAGTACTGAATATCATACAATTACCAACCTACTAATTATTTTAATAACCATTTTCCTCTTTTCAACCTTAGCCATAAAAGGTTTTGATGAAGCTTCCATATAAAACTATTCCAATTTGGCTCAATTCTTCACTATGGTGAGTTGTCTTTCATAGTATGTTATCTTTCTTGACGCTTTTGATGATTGCTCATCTTCTCTATTAGTCTTCTCTACGTTGATTCAAAATGATTTATACTCTATTTGAATCCATAGGGACTTAAAAGTGTTTCCACGAGAGATATTTTAGTCAGAATTTTAGGATTATCTAACTAAATTTTTACGTTTGCTTTTTCATTAATCTCGTCATTCTTCCCAATAAATTTGCTAGATAGTCATGTTTTTAATCGAATATTCTCAATTGGAATTAATATTTTCTTGAAGAAATCTGTCTTCGAGAGCTTTTTTTTTTTGGAAAAAAACTCAGACCCCAAAGAGATTAGGGTTCCTCCCAATTTCCATCATAAGTAGTAGTTATGTTAATGGAAAAGCACAATATGTTTTATAAAAATTTTGTAAATATAGAACATGGTTGTAATTTTTCAATTAATTTTTTCAATCTGAGATATTATTTTAACAACACTCGATTATTTATAATATATTGAAATATCATATTTTTAATATAAACTATAACACGTTGCATAGTAAATTTATTAAGTACGCATAGATATTTTAATATAACGTGCACTTGAATCCGTATTTGCATAATGCATTTTTAATTTACTATTTATTTTTACTTTCATTGCCATGTCTTTCTTAAATTTTTTTGTTAAATAAGAATAAGTTAATTGTGTTTTACTTTCGAAGTTGATCTATATATATCCACTATATATCTTCTCCACAAGCTATATATTCTATTTTCCATTGGATTATTACAGCCATTACGCACCATACATCTGTTTTAACAGTAGATCGGTAAATAATTAATATTTCATGGATGATTTTTCAAGAACCTGCCACCCCATATGACATCCTGCCACCCCATATGACATCTAATAGAACATATTGGATATGTAAATACAAATTCATTTTGATTCTTGGTATCTATTGTCTCTCTCTCTCTCTCTCTCTCTCGCTCTCTCTCTTTTGGGGTGAAATCTAAGCCCTAATATGTATTAAACAGTGCACGTCTATATAAGATTTATAATGCATGCGTAGCATATAGTACTGTAAAATTAGAGTTAAGATGAAAGCAAATAGATCTTTTATTTATAAAATATATCACTTTACATTCCATTGATAATATAACTTAAATATGAAAGTCAAACTGTATGAGCACTCTGTGACCTTACTAATCAAAACACATTCCCACAAACTTCAAATTTAGAAAAACTCCTACCCGTTTCCACCATTATTCTGAGTCATATTATATCCTGTAGCTGGCATCATGTTCACATTGTTAAGACCATTGGTATACATCACGTTTTAATCCTTGATCGCATCTGATCCCCCCACCATCATGTTCTGGTCGTTGTTCATCATCATATGATCGGCTGGAACCATGTTTTGATCATTATTAATCATCAGATTTGCCGCCGGTAGCATCATGTTTGTAGGGTTACTGTTGATAAGCATGACATTAGAGACCATGATTGGATTATTGGGAATCATGGAATTGGACAAGGGAATGTTTGGAATATTGTTGTTGAGCATGTCACGAAGCATCTTCATATAAGCTGCAGGATTAACCATGTTAGGATTAATCATGCTGGGCCTAATCACGTTTGGATTAACCATGTTGGAATTAACCCTATTCATGTTCAGATTAACCATTTTTCTGGGACCAACGGTAGCATTTAAGGGGATAGATTCAAATGGAAGTCCAGTCCCATTGGAAGAGCTTCCAAGAAAAAGCTGATCATCAGAATTAGGATTAATATTGTCCTCTTCAGCATCTTTTTCTTTGGCGACTTTTATAACATTCTCGTATAATTCCTCAAGAGCAGCTTGAAATTGCTGAAACTGTGAAAGGTTCATGTCATCTATGGAACCCATCCACCAGGCTTTACTTGCATTCTCCTTCATCACCTTCTTAAGCTCCACACTTCACTTCTTTTTAGCATCCAGTTGGGCATTAAGCTTTAATTATATATAATCATGTCCAAAAAAAATTCAAGAATTAGTTATAAAAATCAAATAGTATAGATATATGAAGACATGGTAGTGATTATACCTTGTTTAGCTGTGAGTTGAGCCCTTGGAGACAAGCATTTCGATGAGCATCCATCATGCATCTGTTAGCTGAGAGAGGTTGTTCTATTAGGCCACTGAATCGATTGATCAACTTTTCCACAGAAGGATTGACAAAAAAAAACACTTTCTTAGCAGGTGAAAAAATAATCACTGCAACTTCAGCGCCACAAAGCGTGCTAATTTCACTCGCCTTCTTGAAAATGCCAGCCCAGCGTTTGGCAAAGGTAACTTGGAGATTCGTCGCCTTCTTGATCTTCACCATCTCAACCATTTAGCGGCCCTTTAACTTCCTAGGAGGCTCCATGGATAAATTTAGCACGAATTAAAAGATTAATTTATGATTTGAATGATTGAATAAGGATGAAGTAGAATGAAGTATATTTATAGACTATTCAATTTGACAGTTACAATTTTTAAGTATTCCTGCATTTAAATTAACTATGTCTTAATTACTTACTCCTTTAGGATTTTGTAATAATTGAGAGAATATAATTTAACTAATTTAGAGTAGTCTAAA